CGGGTTGTGTTCGATTTCGGGCTTGGTTCTTGGTTTTTTTTCAGTCAAACAAAGAAAGTGAGCCCAGGAGAAATGCGCAGGGAGAGAAAGGAGGATGTGCGCAAGGCCAGGGGATGAAAATGGTCATGGTTGCGCCTTGGAAACGACTCTTTTCAATATATTTATGAATGCCCAGAGTCTTTGAGGCCAAAAACGATGGCGGTGTGCTCTGGTGTGCTCTTATCACGGCCATTTGCCGCCGCCATTGCACCGCACAAAGTGGTTGATCCGGTTTCCGAGGTCCGATTCCGTATCCAAAAGAGTCCCCCAGAAACTGCTCTCCACAGCGCCCGTGTGAATCTGTTGGGGGCTCTTCAGAGACTCGTTGAGTAGACCAAAGGGGCCAAAGGTCACCTAGGTGTCTGGATAACTAAATGGAGCACTATTTATGCATGTATTTCCCCACTTTAAATCGAATTAAGGCCCCATTGGAACATGCAAATACCGCTGACATCGCATTGAACCAAGTAATTAGCGTTAAGTGTTCACATTATGCGAAATAAACTCGATTTATGCGCCCAATTAATCCCCTTGAAGTGGAGCATGTTTTATGGAATGTTTTCAGGCGCACTTCACAGCGAATTGAACTAATTGTTATGCCTAGGGTATTTTCATTAATTTAATTATATTAATTGATAGGTATAATGGCTCCTTAAAGCGAATGTAAATGAATATTTAATTAAATTTTTAGATGATTACTAATGGAAACATAAGAATATATTTAATAAAATAAGTCTACATAAATGCACTAAATAAATTATGAATAAACAAGAAAGAAGCTAATTTGGAGAAGCCAAAATATCATTACACCTGCTGTGAAAATCGATCATAAATCAGCCAAAAAGGCATTAAATTCAATTTCGAAATCATTTCTATGTTAGTTTTTATTAGGTTAATAAATCTGCATACTAAATTTTAAAATTTACAAAGTTCAATTTTTTATCAAATTTTGGCAATTTTAATGATGTAACCCCTTATGAAATTTTCAGATTTTGGGAAGAATCTGAAAAATTTGTTTTTTTACCAAACATGGCTAGATCGATTCGGCAGTTGATTCTGGTCAAGAATATATATGATATATAGGGTCGGAAATTAATCCTTCACTTAGTTTCTGGCTTTTAAATACAATTATAATACCTTGCAAGACTATAAAAATGTAGCCAATGCTTTTTATATATTTTATAAACATATTATTTTATGTTCTATTAATTTCTAGGAAACGCGACTTTATTAAAGTAGTTAAAACTATATTAATAAAAGATTACAAACTTCTATAAAGCAAGAAATCAAGTTGAAATATTTGGGTTATTTAAATCAATAACTATTGAAATTTTTATATGACTATTTTTTTGACAAATCAAAGTTTAAAAACTCATAACTCAGCCAAAAAGGCATTAAATTCAATTCAGAAATCGCTCCTAAGTTAGTTTATAAATCGTCATACTCCATTTTTAATTTACAAAAATTCAATTTTTTGTCAAATTTTTAAAATTTTAATGATGTAACCCCTTATAAAATTTTCAAATTTTGAAAAAAATGTCACAAATTTATTTTTCGACCGGACATGGCTAAATCGATTCAGCTGTTGATTCCGATCAAGAATATATATGATTTATAGGGTCGGAAACGACTCCTTCACTGCCTTTTCTGCTTTTGAGTAATATAATATAATAATAAAATATAATATAATTTAAATTAATTTCCCTTAACACTCAAAACTTAATGCTATAATTTCCGTGGTCCATATGAGAATCATTAGAAACTATCATAATTTCTCCCTGACTAAGAGTTCTTGGAAATGAAAACTCTCAAAGAGCCAAACTAGATTATTAAGCCCCAAGTTGCACACTTAAATCCCAATGAATTTCCGTGGATTACGCGTAATAATCTTGTTCCAGCTGCAGACGCCAGCTGGAGTTTGAGAATCGCTCTCATTTCGCAACCAGATGCGGCGCTTTCGACTCAAAACTTCTCAATTTCCCCCCAAATAAGCGCCACTCTTGTTTCTTTTTTTCCCCCTCGATTTTTACGACCCCATGAAGCGAGGCAATCTCTCTGGATATAATGGATATTCGACTATCGGCCATCGGAGCTGGCGCAAAAAATCTTAAATTGTTGCAAATTGCGTTGGAAAACGTGCCTTTTCCCGGAGATGCCTCCGCGAAGATGCTCGACGATCGTGCCGCCGCATTTGAGATGGAAACCCATTGCCTCCACCACCGCCAATCCATTCCGCTGGACACTTTAACGAGCCCAAATACAAATCACTCACGAGTGGTTTCGTTCTGACCCGGGGCCAACTAATGCGAGAGTTACGCAAAACCATAATTAACAAACATTCGGCGGAATCCGTTTTACGACCGGCACTGCTCGAACTTTCTGATTTATTTCGACTGACTGCACTGAGCGCAAATACTATCGATTTTTAGCAAGAAATTAAAGTGAGATTTAGGAACTATTAATGGGGATGTTAGCGTAGAAAAATACAGAATACAAATACTATTTTTCACTGTGCACATAGTGGAAGTGTAGTTAAGTTGGTCTGTTGATTTATCCGAGTGGTGAAAATCATAGGAAATCCTTTCCAGCAGTCACATAACTCTCACTGGCCAAAATGATGGATGGCCGCGTCTAATGAAGTCGTCGGGTCGTTGTCACCAGACTTCCACTAAATTGTTCGGAAACTTGGAACTACGGAACGCCCTACGTGACTGCACCTACGAATGGCAACCAATGAGCCCCAAGATTTCCACCGACTAACTGACACGACTGGATTCATCGAATCGCCATCGTCATCGTCTGCGTTTGAATACGGAAAATAATGATTAATAGAATGGTTGTACCCAATAGGACACATTGCTGTTTTCTCCTTTCGCCAATGGCCGCCTCTGAGGTCATTTCCGATCAATCAAACCAACTCAGACATCCATCAAAGTGGTTTTATTGAGGGAAAGAGGTATTATGATAATGGATCCAAAGGGTCCTTAAGGTTGTTAGTTTCACAAAGACATTACCTTAAAAATGTTGATTAGGATTAAATATATTTTGATAAGTGATGTATGTATTAGCTTTTAATTGAATCTTTTTATGTATTTTGAGAAGTATCATATTTGGGGGAATTATTTATCATTCTTCATTCATTTTATACTGAGAAAAATACATTAATTTTGACCCTTTATGAAGAACATATTAATTTCAACCAAGGACAGATGATATATAAGTTTTCACTAAAGTCACAATTATGATATATTTTGTATTAGACTTTTTTCGTTTCATCCTTTTATATTGTATTTATTTTCATAGCTTTTAACACAAACACTTTCCGATGATCCGATATATAAAAACCACTGTGTAGCCAAGAAGTAAGACTGCAAATCTGCTCAGCCGAGCCACCATAATGGCATATTCTTTGCCACACCCATTTCCTTCTGTTTGCCGCTTCAATCAGTGCTCTTTCGAAGGACATTCGCTTGAGCCTGAGCCAATGATGACATAATCGAAGACCACGCCCATTTATTATTGGCAATAGCGATCGTTGTAGGCTCTGTCCCTCCCTCTCTCTGCCTATCTCTTTCATTGCAAAAAGGAAAGGACGAAAGGTCCTTTCGCTGGCACTGCTTGCTTGAACCTGTACCCACCCCCCTTAGCCCACGACCTTAGTCAGGACGCATGAAAACTGCTTGAACTGCTTGGTCGTTGTGCTTCGACGAGCAGCGGACAGATGGCGCCATTAGAGAGTTGGAGTTTTCCTGTCATCGAATGACCATTTCGCTTTTTGTCTCTAATTGAAGTTTTCCATCCGCAGCATCTGCATTTTCTGCAACACCATCGGCATCCGCATCCCGCATCAGTGTCCCACGACACCACTTGGCCATATTTTACCGCTTTTAAGCAGCGCGTAAATACTCACGCTTACTGCAAGAGTCCATTAAACGGTCGTAAAAACTTTACGATTCCCAATATGAGATTCTCTTAATACGATTTTTTATGATATTGAAATCTCCTTTCGCAGCGAGCCCATCATCGCCCATCTCCGCTGTCTCTCTCTCTCTTCCTGCCGCTCTCACTCTAACTCTCTGCAGCACGCTTTTCCCTTGTTTTTCCATCTGGGGGGAAAAACTGAAAAACCACCGCCGCAGGTAACGTAATGGCCACCCGCGCCAACGGGGCGTATGCGTGTGTTTTAATGTCTTGTTGAGGCCTATAAAACACGCTCGTCATTCCACTTCCACTTTTCCAAATCTCCGAATTTCCACATTTCCACTGTCCGATGCGTTTCAGCTAAGTCAGGGCCAAGGAAACCATTAAGGGAATACAAAATTCTTGTTTATTTTTAGTGAAAAATACAAAATAAATGCTTGGTAATTAGGAATATAATAAAAAATATTCAGACAGAGTTGACTAAAGAGATACAAATTAAAAATTCCAAACTAAAAAAAAAATAATTAAAAATTCTTTAGACAGAATCTTTCCATTCCTTATTCTTTATTTTCGGTTTGCTTAAAATTCTGTTTCCCTTGTTTACTTCCTTGCAAGGTATTATAATTTTATCCAGAAGCTTGAAATTCAGTGAGGGAATTATTTATGATCCTATGTGATTTTATATTCTTGATAAGAATCGACTGCCGAATTGATCTAGACATGTCCGGTTAAAAAATACATTTTTTTTTTAAGTTTTTCCAAAATTTTACAATTTTATAAGGGGTTACATCATTAAAATTGTCAAAAATTCGAAAAAAAAAATTAAAAATATTTAAATGAAGAATTTATATGCAGATTTTTAAACATAATAAAAACTAGCATATAACAGTTTTCTAATTGGAAATTAATTAATTTTTGACTGAGCTATGAACGATTTTCTATGCAAGGGTGTTCCGAAGTTAGCTTCTTTTTGGATATTAGATTTCATACATTTCTGAAAAAGAATAATTGATGTTTACACTGACCAATATTTATCGAAATTTAATCCTAATACATTTATTTTTAAAATTTTGAATATAATTTAAGTTATTGCGGCTGGACCACCTGAGACAAATTCAGTCAGATAATAAATAGACTCAGTCACAAGAAAGAAATAATGCATCCTTCGTAGTCCCTGTCCATTGATATCACCTTCAATTTTGTTGATCAAGAAAATACTAAAGAAAAGCAGGATACATGAAATTTAGGGAGCAACTAGTCACTAGTATTGGGTATTAAAAACTTACCAGAATGAAGGCAGAAACAACTGGGCTGCCGGGTATAACTAATAACATTTCTCTGATGCCTTGCATCTCTTAGTTAAACATTAACAAGCAAATAATAGTAACAACAACGGGACAGTAGCATTTGATCAATGAATATGGGATATCCGCTTTCCCATTTAACAAACTCTAAGAACTGTCCTGGTAGGATTATAATTGAACTTATCTGGAAAAGTTCATGATTTATACTACTAAGTAAAAGCAAAAATTAATCGAAAACTTACTGCCAAGAGGTTGCAATCCTTGCAAAAGAATTGGCAAGGGATTGACCTTTCTCAAAAACGTATCTTGCAAGTCGGAAGGGGTTAAGCCAGGTTCCCGTCTTTTTTAACTTCTCTAAATAGGTCTCTGAAGGATCTATATCCATTATTATTAAATATAATCTAGCAGTTTAAGTATTGACTTTTATATTTTTATGAGTATTTATGATTGAAGGAAGAGAATTAACATAAATATGAGTTGCTTGACTTTTAATTCTCAGAAACATTGATTGCGTAGTAACTCCTTAATTTTTTTTTAGACTTAATAATAATAAATCAGTTAAAATCTTTATAAATAATGATATATCTTTATACTTACAGATACTGTCACATCTGCAATAATGGTAAGTGCTTGACTTAAGTTAATAGCTCAAAGCTAGACCCTTCAATTTAGGGACCTCTGGTCTCCTCATTTTACCTCATGCATTGTTGACTATATCCAACATTTATATCTATTACCTACGCACTTTACAAAAAGAAAAAACAGTGTGTCATTAGAGCAATTAAAATGCAGTAAAAACACCCAAAGACAGACACTCGTATAATTTTTATTGAGTAATTCGGAGGTGACTCGAGATCGCCTCCGTGCAAATGGGATATGACACAGAGACCCAGTTTCCGGATGCCGGGTGATGGGGTGACCCATAAACCCGACCGCATCGGGGATTAAAAAATGATTGCGTGAGAAGGCATTTAGTAATCGTCGTCGTCCGAAAGGAAAACTCATTCGTCAGATCGGCAGACGGGGAAAAACCACAAGCACAAGCCCAAGCCCGTCCAAACAAGCCATAAACTCCGGGGCCATAAAAGTGTATCAAATTAGGGAATGAACTTGATGTGCAGCGAGTTTTATTCCCATTCTGAGCCGCACTTCTCACTCAGCCAGGAGAGACTCACTCAATGCCATTGATTCACAGCAGCGAGTGACAATTGATTCCGGTCTCATTACTCACTCTGGAGTATTTTACAGTCTTTTTATGAGCAATTACGGCTGTCTTCTAGCGGCTTTTACGATCCGCACTCGAAATCGCAAAGGCAATAGTGTCAGATTTGGCTTGGCTTGTGGGAACCACCGAACGAAAGCAAAATCCCTGGGCACTTTATTAATTTAAGGGATTTTTATTAGTTTTAAATACTTATAAAAATATAGGTTTGGAAGCTAAAACTGCAATCAACCTAAGGATATATGGCAACTATTTATCATAGGATAATGCTCTTTTAACTCAGTAATATTGAAGGCTTTCCTTGCAGAAGAAGAAAGTATTCAAGCGTTGGAGAAATTTCATATAATATAAGCTCATAAATAAATACTCTAAACTATGTGTCAAGAAATGAATTTTATAACAGAAATATATTATATTAAATACTCTTTATAGAGTACCTGAAAATAGGACCTATAATATGTATTACAATATGTACATACGTCCCCTGCTAGAAAAAATATGGAAAGACGTGCATATCATTGACTGAATTATTAAATATTTAAAATATACTAATAGTGTAAGCCAGTTTTGAAAAAAATATATATTTATGTAGTACAATTTTAACAAAATATCTAATGATATGTTAAAGACTTAGTGACATATGTTATAAAAAAGGCCGCTGTTAAAAGGCTCTAAAATAAATGATTTAATAGTATAAATAAAATAATCGTAAATACACTTTACAACCACTTTTAAAACTATTAAATTACTTGTAAACTGTTAGATTATTTAACATAAAAATCAAATAACTCTCTAGACTTATTCACTTTCATTTCTCCAGTATATACATATATCTTTTGCTTTTATTGTTTTACAAGTGTTTCTCATTGCATGCGTCTCTCTTTTTTTATGCCTATTTTATTTTAGATACAACCTGTCGCACGGGAGATTACAGCATAATACATACGCACAACGGAGCTCTTTCTTTTATGGTTTGTTCCGTTCCGTTCCGCTTTTGTTTAACGCTCCCGAGGATCACAAATCGCACGCAATGCCACCACCACAAAAGTGACACCAAGTCAGAAAACGCGACTCGAGTGAAACTCCACTCGAAACTCTCAACTCAAAATAGTGTTTTATTGCTGAAAATTACTCTTTTTTTATGTATTTACTTTGTTTTTTGTGTGTTTTCACTGCTCATCCACTCTCACCCAGTTTCAATTTTTATTAGTTTATTACGATTATTATCGCTTAATGGGCTGTTCTTGTTGTTTTTTGTTATTGTTGCCGCAGTAGTGAGCAGAGTAACGTGCGAAGTTGTTTTATTATTTGTTTTGATTATCAAAATGGGCCTTTTACATTTTTCCGGTCGTTGGGCGGCCCACCTGCCATGGTCTTATAGCCCGCACCATATATATCCCGTATATATGTATACCGTACATCTCATAGCCCATAATATCGGGGCAAGGGCAGTAAATCACAGCCCGCTGTGAGAGGCGGCTGCAGATCTGAGTGCACTCGAAGAAAAACTACTAAAGAAATGCAGAAAATAAATATTAATTAGGATATTACTTTAATATTTATTTATTTAAGGTTAAAAAAACATAATTTTTATGTGTTAGTTGCTTTAAAAATTCATATAAAATAATATATTAATATAATAATTAGATAAACAGATCTGTTTTCAAATTATTTGTTACAGATATAAGACATTTTTCTTAAAAACACATAGATTGAGCCTTTGTAATGGATTTTATTATATTAATATTATATATTTAAATAAATTTTGCATGTTCATATCATATTTCCCACAGTGTAGTTCGAATTTGAGTGCACTCAGTCTGGCCACTCATTCGCACTCGCCGTATGACCCATAAACATGAACCAAAGTGTGGCAAAAATGTTTAATTTGGAATTTATGAGCAATTAATTTTAAAGCTCTCACCCGACCGTTAACGCAGTGTCCGCCTTGAAAACCCCTCCTCTCTCTGGGCCATAAAACCATACAAAACTTAACAAGTCAGTGTGCCAAAAAAAAAAGATATGGATTGTTTAGCCAATCCGCTGATTGATCAATTATTCAATTGTTATCGCCCAGGATTCGGCAATCGCACTTGGCCAAGGGCCGTAAAACTACGCGAAAGCCAATTATAAAGGTATTAGCCAGGTGAGAAGACCGTAAAACTGACAGGTGCTTAATAAAATTAAAATAAATATGTGAAGTGCAGAGAGCATAATTAAGCGGAAATAAATTAATTGTACGAGTATGATACTCTTAGAATAAGAAGAAAGGAATAAATATTGTTATTTATAAAATAAGATAAATGTTTGTAAAATATAAATAGCTAAATACCGATATATCTTATAAGATATAGATTTAAATAATATATTTCATTTATTTAACAAATGTTGTACTTCTATTTCAGCCATGTTTTTGAAATAAATAAACGTTCTGGACAATAAACTATATCTTTCTCACAATACAATATTTTAATCTTGTTAAAATGTTTTAAATTTCTAAAAAAATATTCTTTTATATTGAAAAATAAATTTATTTACCATAGTGTTTCTCTGTCACTTTCTCTCTTTGGTCCCTCTCCAACCCCCAAAGTTATAGCAAAAAAGTGAACAAGTTCAGAAATTGCAGATTCGCTTTATTTTGCAGAACGAAAAGAGCAAAGATAGAGCGATGGAGAGATGGGTCTGGGGAAATGTCTGTTTTTGTTGTCCAATTTCAGTCGTAAATTTCAAATTTTTCATAAAAATGTCATAACAGCAATTCCAGCGACAAACGGCAAAAGGCGTGGCGAGGGGAGCGGAGAAAGGAGAAGAAAGGAAGAGCGAAAGAGGAACAAAAGGCGGCGGCCGAAAAATGGTAAAGGAAGAGCGAATATTTTGCAGCGTCGGCGTTTTTCATCTCTCGAATTTATGGATTTTTCGTAATTTCAGTTTTTTTTTCTTCTTTCGGCTATAAAAAAAAACAAAAAGCGGGACAAATTTCAGGCTAATTTGTATAGGAAAGCACTTACTCGGCGGAGCCACCGTCTTACTCACTCACCCGCACTCGCACTCAGCATGAATAATGCGGGGTAATTTAATCAACAATAACATTTTGCCAAACAAAGCATAAAACACTTAAAAAAGCATTCCACTCACTCGCGGCGGGCGGCTCAAAGTAGTTGCGCTCAGCCTGCGAATGAGTTCTCACGTTATAAACATGAAAATTAAGCGAGCACTAAAAACCGCACTCAATGGCGAGAGCAACTCACTCAAAGAGCGGACGGAAGCAGCCGAGGCGGCCATCATGCGCTCGAGCGGAAGAGGGAGAGCAGCCTTCGAGCAGTTCGCTCGCAGCGGGAAAGCCACGAGTGGGAGCGAGACAAGCGTATGAGTAGCAACGCTGCCATCTTTCCTATTGCCCGCTGTCGACGTTGAGTGAGAGTGAGGCTGTGTGTGCGCTCGAAATGAATGTCACAAACTCAGCATCCAGTTGCCCATAAGAACGCTCGCATGGCTTTTGTATTGCGCCATAAACGTTTCGCTGCTCGTAACGCCACAACGCTCGGCCTTCGCCGCGTAGTCTCCCCAGAAAACGGCAATACCAACAGCAACAGCACAATATAACCAGGCGGAGGAATAAATAAATCCAAATCCCATCCGCAGACAGACAAAAACTCAAGTCTCCAACGACTCAAAAGCGCTGCGTCGCCGCCGCTGTCGCCGCCGTCTCAGTCGCTGCTCCGCTGCGGTCTCTGCCCACGCTGGCATCGCAGCCCGCGCCGGCAGCAAGAATTACCAATTACACGAAATTTTTATACTCTTTTAAAAATTTCGTTTTATTATAATATTTATTATCGTGGCGCGCAGTAGTGTCTGCGGAACTCAGCTCCACTCTTGGCTTCAGCTCCCGATTCCAGTGATTTCGATTCTCCGGATTACGATTGCGTTCCATCGTCTTCGATACCGTTTCCGATTCCGATCCGCCGGCTTATTGTCACTTAACAGTTATAGAGCGCATAAAACGCGACACGGAAACCCATGTGAAAAATCGGAAAACCGAAAAACTGTCAAAACATTTCGTTTATAACTCTCAGTGTGCGGTGCATAAAAATTAAAAAGCCATAAAGTTGACATCGTAAAAGGGCCCCAGAGTTCGAGTTCGATAGTTCTACCTGCCAAGTGTTTTATGGCATTTTAAACAAAGTAATTAAAGCGAAACGAAGAAAGCCTTTCTCCGCAAACAAACACCAGCGCACACTCCTAAAAAAAGCCAT